ATAAAATTATCCTCATCTCGATGTGTTCTACTGTGTATTTCTACAAAACTAATGCAAAATGATTTGACGACTTTGAAGTTGAAATAGTTTATACATTGTTGTGCACTGATTTAATTCCAAACTAAATAGAATTTTAAGCAACATATGCCAACCCTCTTGGTAGCCACAATTATGCACATTTGACAGGACAACCTAGCAGATGATCGGAAATGTTGGTAGTTGTTCAGATGGGATATGCTTGTTGAATGATATCGGAACCATCGAGGGTTATTACATTCCTAATTGACCTCGATTAGGAGAACTGCGTTGCTCAACAGTATGTAGCAGTTTGTGCACTTGGATGTAATTGGTGGTTGTGTGTGGATCTGTCAGTTTAATTCCTTCCTATCTGTTTGCGTCGGAGATTAACCAATAACAGTTCAGGTTATTTGAGAAACATCAATGACGAGTTATACAAATAAATTCTGTCAACCTTGACAAAAAGGGGTAGCTTGAATATAACCGTATAAATTGAGATTATGCTTCTGGCGTAATCAGAACACACGCAAAATGTTCACGAAGAGGAGCATGCTCTTGACGACTTTATTCATTGTCTTTTCCGTCTGGAGTGCTGGTAAGTCGACAGAAACATTTAACTATCACAGCTGGTTTATTTCAAATACCACACTCAGTTTAGGGTTGGGATTGCTACAACATAATTTCAATTGTCATTTCACCTGTTTAGATGCGGATCCTGAGCATAAAGAAGCCGAATGTGGTCCAGCTAATGTGGAATTGACTCAACCACAAATGTCTTGGCGAGTTCCACCGCCCGGAATGCAATTTACGAGCGGGACAAAATGTGCATTTACGTTTACAACCGATCCGGCTTTCATTATACATTTTGAAGCAAATAAAATGCACGTGAGTTAGAAACCCACCTCTGTTTTCCAATCGCACTCATTTTATAACTAACAGTTTGGAAGAGGCGGCAACTGTGACAAGGACTATGTCATTTTCGGCTCGACCATGGAAGAGGCACATGATACTAAAAAGGCGGTTTGCGGCGAACGGATAGACAATATATTTCCACCAGAAGGACAGAAATTATTCATGACATTACTAATCACGAACGAGGCTGACAAATCTTTTCTAGAAGCAACCATTTATAAACGTGAGTTATTCTGTTTACCATGTTCGGTTGAAACTTCGAAATCGAAATATCCATGAATAATAATGCTTTTTTTATTTATGCACAGAATATAACCCTACTATACAACCTGCAGCTTGTGGGGATCAGATGGTGAATTTGACCAAAAAGTCCACTCCGTTCTCTGTACCCTTACCGGGAATGAAATTCGAAAGAGCATGGTTATGTGGATATCAAGTGAATGCTGAAAATAATAAACGTATATCCGTGCATATTGATACGATCAAGGTAAGCCAGTGTGCATTATTATTGTTCCCTTAACCTATATGCGAATTTCGAATCTACTGTTCCATGGTCAAACTTTACATTGCTTTGTTTATTTACCAGTTGGGCAATGATGGCGGCACATGCGAACATGACTTTATGCGCCTAGCGGACACACCGGAAGGATTGGGAAAAAATGCGACCGTATACTGTGGGACTACTCCGCCAAAATCGGATTACATCTCGACAAATAATGTAGTGTACATAGTAATCACTTCCGCCACAAATCCGATCGAGAGTTATGTAACCGGATCTTATTTAATAGGTAAGAGCAAATAAAGCAAAACATGACGATCGTACGTTGAAACGAATTCAATCAATTCCAGTCAGGTATTTTATTATTCAAATTGGTGCATCGTTCCAAAAAAAGACAAATTAAATTATACTTTGTCATGTATTGGAATTGTGAACTGAACACCTGTACACTTTGAGATGGACTATATTAGGCATATGTATTTGTCACCATTTTTAGGTGACGTAGTCCTGATAATACGAACTTTATTTTAAGGAAATAAGATAAAATAAATAATTTAGGGAGAATTTATTTTCATTCAACTGAACCCTGCAAGTTTGCCATTTCACAATTCGTCATCTTCCCTTGTTTTCTTTATAGACGCATCTCAATCCGTTGTCCTAATCCCAAAGTGTTTATTGTTGGGGATTTGGCTCAATTGGCTGAATTTACGCTTGAAATGAAGCTTTGGATTCAATAAAACAGAAGCCGCGTGTTTTTCGTCATACTTTAGTTACTGTGGAGTCTCCTCAGAAGCCAAACCACATCAAACAAAGTACGCTATTATTACTACATTCAGAAGTAAATCACAAATCAAATAAATCTTCCATTTTTCTTAATTACGCCGTATTCATTGGAAACTACACAAGGGCGATTACATGTGTGTAGCAGTACACCTACTGCAATTCAAGTTATCGCAATATCATGTCAGCATGTCCTCGGATCATTTCAAGCTGTCGCATTGACCTCACCGGTGCTGACAAGCCTCTCAGCGATGTCTGAATGACCACAATGCACCACCGATTAACATACCTCCCGTTGAAATGCCGGGGACAATTGTGGGACTGGCTTCGGTCACACACGCCTCAATTCCCATTGCATACATATCGGTTGTTTATCTTGCAAGTACGCGTACGCCTTTGTATGTGTGTGTTCCCCCTCCGGTGACCCCAGTGAATCATGTGCAATCAAAGCATGAGACATGACTTACCACTTCCACACGATGCTGCATTGGGACGTCAATAGATCATGCTCGATTGATATCCACATCAGTATTGACCAGATTCACATCCAGTTTGTTCGATGCTTTCAGGTCATAATCTGTGTGATACCACCACAAAAGCACTTTCAAGCACTGAACAATCAAAATGACCATTTTGTCGGTATGTCCGGAACGGAATGTGATATCTCTATCAAATCAATTGCAACAGAAATATCGTAACGTGGACTGTCGAAAGATGCCATAATTTTCATAAGAGTTATGGGATTTTATAAGAAAATGATATTTGAAATTTGGAATTTTTCCAAAATGCACTTTTCGAAATATGGGCTCTGAATTCGATAATGGTTATCGCTGAAATCATATAGTATTATTTAAACACCTCCTTCACACAAAATGAATCGGGTGAATTTAAATTAACGTACGAAATTCATAAGTAGTAAGTGCAAACTGTCTTCGAACAGTCTTATTGCCATTGTCGCATTTTTCTATTCATTTTCATCATGGTAACACCACCGTAGTCGTTCTTAGGATACGAATGACCGAAGCAACTACCAATCAGAAATTGTGAAAATGTTCGATAAGTTAGTAAGTATTAGGAGATCAGAACACCTTTCGATAATCATAGCTGAACCACAACGCTGTATTTTAAGGTTCTTGCAGTCATCCCGGATGAAAAGATTGAGATACAGTATCAGTTGATGAATGTCACACATTGGTAAACAAAGGAAGAAACAACCTATGCACCTGATATTACCTAGGCTCGCGGATCTAGAAAGGGGAAGATATTTTTTCGGCGCAAGGTGAGAAGATTTTCGGAACTACGTTGATATATTGGATAAGCATGCAGGCCGCCAGCGAAAAGATGAAATAATTACTTACTTATGGCTGTGGCCGGTAAATACCTCGAAGTGCTCGGCAATGATGAAGGGTTCACAGAATCCAGCTGTCAAATATTACCGCACCATAGTGATAATCCTCGCTCCTCATTTACTGCCTCTTTATGTTAGAACGCGTTCGCGCTTGTTTTATTCATTCTTGACTGTCATGTTTTATCCTACATTTTTATCCAGCTTTTCCTTATCCGATTATCGTGACTAGATAGCTTGCTATGTGTTGAGCATTTTGCACACAGACATTCATTCAACGTCAGCCTCAGTCTTGTATTAGTCTATCGACTACATCGAACAATATACGTAAATGCCTGAAGCGATATATCGAAAAGACAAAAATTCCATGTCAAGCGGCTAACAATTTCGCTCAAAGCTGAAATAAATCGGTTGAACAAACGGTATATCGACACTATCCTGGGTAACTCTATTTGTCGTGGCATGTGGCGGTCTATTCACCGATTGTTGGACGTAGCCGTAAACACAAAAAGGAATCTGTCGATATTGAAAGACTAAATTCTGAGTTTAGTCCAGTTTCACGGTGCACTGCCCTGCCAGACTTAGTCAGCTCTANAATCCCAACTATCGAACCCACCACAGTCCTGAAACAGCTAATAAAAACTAAGTTGAATAAGGCATCGGGCCCTGGTGAACTATCACCAGTAGTACTCAGAGCAGGTGCGAATACCCTTTCAGCCCCATTGTCAAAAATATTCAACGACTGTCTCACAAGTAGAAAAATTCCTGATATTTGGAGATTGGCCAAGATAACTCCCGTTCCAAAA